GGAATCCATGAGTCCATCCTAAGGATAGATGGATGATGGATGGATGGATGGATGGATAAAGATAGCAGTGGGTGAAGGAGAAGTCGGCTGTAGGAGCACAGGGAAGGCTATTCATTATAGTAAAATGCCAATTAATAAATCAGCATTTTACAACTGTCATAGCAAAACTTATTTTAAACAAGAATCATCTATGAAAAAAAAGGGATCATCTATGAATGCTAAATCCAAGAGGGAAAACTGGATAAGAAGAAGCAATATTTGCATGGTCTCAGTCTCTCTCGTTAGCTGTTTGTTAAGTAAGCAACAATTTTACCATAGCAAAAGAGTAACTATATGGTAGAGAAACCATAACACTTTGACAAGTAATCAAAAATAACATTAACAGGAAGAGGCTGACAGATACAGTGTGCCTTCAAAAGCAATGTCCTGAGAAGAACAGAACTTAGCTCTCAGTTATGTACTAATCCAGCAAGGACTGCATAATCTAAATACTATCTTGATAAAACGTAAAAATTTGAGACACATTCTATAAAATAAACTGGACTATATATATATATATATATATATATATATTTGATTTCAGAGAGAAAGGGAGAGGGGGAGAGAGACAAAAACATCAGTGATGAGAGAGAATCATCAATCAGCTGCTTACTACACGCCCCACACTGGGGATCGAGCCTGCAACCTGGGCATGTGCCCTGACAAAGAATCGAACCATTACCTCCTGGTTCATAGGTTGATGCTCAACCACTTAGCCACACTGGCCGGGCAAACTGGCCTATATTCTTTTAAAACATGCCAGTGTCATGAAAGGCTAAGGATCTGTCCCTACATTAAAGGAAACAAAGAGATGTCATTAAATATAATAAGTGATCCTGGACTGAATCTTGGGCTAAAAAAATGCTTACAAAAGATATTACTGGTACAACTGACAACATATATGTAGATTAAAGTATTATATAGAAGCTAAATTTCCTGAATTTGATAAGTATGGCTATATTTTATAAAATAACTTTTTCTAATATTGGAGTTATTTCCAAATAGAAGTGATAGATATCAGATCAGTGGTTGCCTAATTTAGGGGGGTGGGGTTGATTAGAAAGAGGCCTATTCTGGATAATGAAAGTGTACTTTATCTTGACTGAGGTGTTTGAATTAGAATCCATTGAACTATACACCTAACCCTGTGCATTTCATTAAATTTAATTACACCTAATTTTTTTAAAGCCACTAAGGAAACTTAAAGTTTAGCATGAGGCGAAAATTAATCATCACAATTCATAATCATAAGCCTATCTGAAAATTAATTTGGGGTTTTGAATTTAAACTGCCTATCTGACCTGGGAAACCCTAAACTAGGAACTCACTTTACAAATCCTCCCAAAAACAATTTACACAACTCTTTAGGTCTCTTCAAGAATCCCAGAGATTAAGATTATCTAATTACAAAAACAAAATTTTTTAAAAATTAGAAAATACATTGGGAAATAAACCATCATTATGAACAACAAAAAGCAAAATTAGCTTCCAAAGCACTTCAGATATATAAAATAAGTATGTTGTAAATATTTATACAAATAAGAAAATTAAAGCATGGCGAGAAACAGGATACTATCAACATAACCAGGTAGACAGGAACTGGATATGCTAGGACTTAAAAATACACTATATGACATCAAGAACAGAAAATAAAATGTTCCTATTCTCCAATTACAAGAAAGGAAAGGACTGACTGTTCTTTGACATTAGTCAACAAATCCCTAAACTATACTCTGACATTCAGCAAATCCTTAAACACTCCAGCTTTTTAAAAGTCTCCAGACTTCCCCAAAACCTGATACAATACCAACTCTTTGCTTTGTTTAAAGAGCCTGTCTCACAAGCCCAGTTCTCCCTTGCTTGACAAGTAATAAATTCAGCTTCTTTGTTTCAGACATATTGAACAGGTTTTGGTTTCAGGTATTGTGAGTGGTGGTCTCTTCCTTAAGAGAATTTAATAGATTTGTTTAACAGCAAATGATAGGATTGGTAAATAAGAATATGGGTAAACAAAAAATATCCAACCGAGCCACAAAAATCTTAAAAATTAAAAAATTATGAAAAAGAAGGTAAGAGATACTGGGACACCAAGAAAAGGTCTAATATAGTTATAACTGGAGATTAAGGAGTAGAAAAATGGGGCAAAATAATACCTGAAGAGACAGCAAATAAGAATTTTCCAGAATTAATGAATGGCATCTACCCACAGATTAAGCTATAAATACAAAGAAAACCACACGTAGGCATATTATAATAAAATTTTTGGATAGCCAAACAAAGAGAAAACCTAAAAAATAAAAAATAAATAAAGAGGGGTTGGGAGGACATATTGTAATAGCATCAAATATATTAAATACCTAAGAATAAATTTAATGATATATGTAAAAGAAGTATATACTAAAAACCATAAAACCTTATTTAAATTAAATAAAAGGAGGAATCACTGAGATGAAAATAAATGGAGAGCAATGGAAGAATTCACATTCATGGATTAAAATACTTTAAAAATACTCTATATTATAAATATATCAATTCATCCCAAACTGAACTATAGACACAAAACAATCCCATGCACAATCCCAGCAACTTTTTTGTGTGAAAATTGATAATGATTTCTATAATTTACAGGCAATGCAAAGAGCCAACTTCTAGCCTCAAGAACTGTGAGACAATAAATTTCTGTTGCTTAAGCCACCTAGTTGAGGTACTTCATTAAGACAGACCGGGCAAACTAATACAGACAGTAGCTACTTAGTGGAATATATGCACATTTTTTTTACCCAACAATTTCTCTTCTTGGTATATACACAAGAGGAATGTATCCATATTTAAAAAAGATTTATATAAAAATGTTCATAGCATTGTTTTTCTAAAAGCCCCACACTAGAAACAACCTAAATGCTCACCAACAGTAGAATCAATAAATAAATCATGGTATATTTACACAGTGGAATTTTATATGGCACTGGGGATAAACCAAGTATAAACACATACAACAATATAAAAGGATCTCACAATTATGTTGAGTGAAAGAATCCAGACACAAAAAAGTATATACATGGATGATTACAATTACATAGTTGAACACGTAAAAGTAATTTATAGTGTTAGAGGTCAGGACTATGGTGGCCCTTGGAGAGGAGGGAGGTAATAGTGATTGGGAGGGGCAACAGGAAGATTTCAGGGATGCTGGTAATGTAATTCCCTTTCTTGATCTTGGTGATGGCTGTACTGTGAAAATTCTTCAAGTTGTACACTAATGATCTGCACACTTTTCTCAGTTTTTTACAAGCTGAGTAGATGAGTTAAACAGCAGATTAGAACAACTGAATAATGAACAATAAGGGAGATCTTTAAAAACAGATATAATGTAGCACAGACAGAAAATATAAGAAAGATTAATAAAAGTATACAATAGAGTAAAAAGGTCAGGTATAAATCTAATTGAAATTGCAGAAGATAATAAAGAGAATGGATAAGAATCAATATTTGAAGAGATAATAGCTGAGAATTTTCCAGAATTAACATGATACAAATCTCAGATTAAAATGCACTATAATTCGCCCTAGCCGGTTTGGCTCAGTAGATAGAGCATCAGCCTGCGGACTGAACGGTCCAGGGTTCAATTCCAGTCAAGGGCACATGCCCAGATTCCAGGCTCGGTCCCCAGTGAGGGGCGTGCAGGAGGCAGCCAATCAATGATTCTCTCTCCCCATTGATGTTTCTATCTCTCTCTCCCTTCCTCTCTGAAATCAATAAAAATATATATATATTTTTTAATGCACTATAATTCCAGGCAGGATTATTAAAAAAAAACAACAACTGGGTAAATTATTGTAAAACTACAGAACTCCCAAGACAAAGTTAAAATCTTAAAATCAGATACAGATAAAAACAAATGATTTACAAAGGAATGAAAATTAGACGGATTCTTTTTTGTGTGTGTGTGTGTAGTGGTGTGTGGTGGGACGGGGGACTGTTTTGGTTTGGTTTGGTTTGGTTTGGAAATTTTTCAAACTCGCAGAAAAGCCAAACAATAATACAATGAAACATACTTATACCACTTACCAGATTCACTCTGTTAACATTTTGGCTGACACACTCAAAGTTTTTCAAAACAGACACATGTCCTTCCTTTTTGGAAAAATGTAGAAAGTAGGCTGCAAATAGGATTCTTCACCCCAAAATTCTTTATCATCCCAGGAACAAGAAAATTCTATTCACCTACAACACCATTACCTCATCTAAGATAATCAACATTAATTCAATAACATCACTCTAATAGAGTCCAGATAAAAGTTTCTCAGTTATCTGAAAAATGTCCTCTAAAGTTTACCATTGTACTTATTCAGAACCTAATCAAAATGTATGCTTTACTTTCAGATATTGTAGCTCTTCATTATCTCTCAGTTTAGAACATTCTCACTCCTGACACTGAATCATATGAAGAGTTCAGGTCAGTTGTCCTGAAAAAATGTCCCACATTCTGAACTGGTTTGACTGCCTCCTTATGATCATAAGGTCAAGCATTTCCAGGAAGAACACCACTAAGGAATGCTATACACCTTCCGTGCACCACATTATGCCTGTCTAACATTATCCATTTTGTAATTTTTCCCTTTGTAATTCATAAGTCACCTGTAGGGTAATATTTTGAGATTTGGGAGCGTACTTTTAATGGCAACTGTGGAAACCAGAAAACAGCAGACTACAACTTTCAAAGTGCTAAAAAATTACTATCAATGTAGAATTGTATGCCGACCAAAGTATCATTCACAAATGAAGGCAAAATAAGACATATCTCGACATGATCCAGTAAAATAAATTAACAAAAGACTATGTATACCACACACACACACACACACACACACACACACACACAGCTTTGTACAGAGCTTTGATTTTTATAAAACTTGCCAGGCATTTAACATTTGTAGCATGTCTTGAAAAAAGTACCTTACCTGCCATCTCTTTGAAGGGCAAAAGCAATGCCTTCTTTCTGAAAAGGAAGTAGCTTTGCTCTTAGTTTATCAGGCAAAAAATCCAGCTGTTCATAAGATTCACTTGTCAAACAAGAAATCTGAGATGTAAGAGGCTTTTTTATGTTATGAACTCTGGGCATGATGATCCTAAAATCAAAGAAAAAAACAAAAGGGAAGGGGTTAGGGAAATAAATATTAACTAAGTGTATTACAGAGTTAAACATAAATAATAATGTAAGCATACCTATCAGTAGCCTTGATAAACTATCTACATAGATATAAAATAAATCATGTTTCCAGAGTTAGCTATTAAGAAAATTCAGACCACTAAGTTCAAAAGCAACTACTTATTTCCTATCTAAAAACTCAGCATCGGGAGAAACAAAGATGGCGGCATAGGTAAACACCGGAAATTGCTTCCTTGCCCAACCACTTCAAAAATAAAAATAAAAGACAAAACGGACATCATCTAGAACAACAGGAAGGCTGGCTGAATGGAAATTCTACAACTAGAAGGAAAGAGAAAAGCACACTGAGATTCAGAGGAGGTGCGGAAGTAAAGTGCAGAGGTACGAAGGTGCACATGGAAAGGGCTGACAACTGAGTACACGATTGTCTTTTACAATCTGGAGGGAGTCTCAAGCTCCCTACTGCTCTGAACTCCAGTTCCGGGCGAGTCTCTAGGGACCCAGACTCATACGGGGAGAAACTGGACTGTCTGGCATCGGTTCGAACACAAGGGGCGGCTTTCTCTCAGAGGTGAATGCAGTGATTACCGGGACACTGAGACTCGGGGCCCCTTAGGGAAGGACTGAGGAGCAGCCATAGCTGCTTGCTCTGCCCTGTTGATCCCGTGAGACCCCACCCCACCCAAGCTGTGCACAGAGGCTTTTGCATATGAAAGGCCTGGCCCTTTGCAATCTGAAAATTACCTAACAAACTGCAGCTGGGTCAGAGAGACCCAGAACTTCCAAAAGAAGGCCCAAGGCCCCACAGCAGCTTGCATTGCTTCACAGCTGGGCCTCATCTGGGCACCTCCAAACCCCAAACAAAGAAGAGGAATCTGCAAATCTCTCCATAGCTCCTGCTGGGTAGCCTCAGGCAGAGGCTAAATTAGCACCTCCTTAGATCCAAGAGCCAGTGTACCCAGTGGCCAGAGTGAGACCATCCAGATTACAAGTCCTCAGATCCATAAGGGCACACTCAGAGGGCAGACTCAGTGAGCACCAAAGCCCCACTGAAGCAAGTCTTGCCCCAGAAGGGTGTCTTCAGCACAGAAGTTATCCCATTGCAGACACAGCTGATTCTCACAGCCAATTGGCCTGGAGGTCAACTCCTCCAAGTGATACCTACAACAATCAAGGCTTAACTACAACAAGACTGTGCACACAGCCCACAAAGGGGTGCACCAAGAGTGTCCACCTCAGGTAATTGGGGAGGCTGAGCCACTGGGCCCTATAGGACACCTAGCACAGAAAGCCACTCTATCAACACAGGGAAGCATAAAAAATGCGGAGACAAAGAAACAAGTCACAAATGACAGAAATGGAGGAAAGCAAACTACTGGATATAGAGTTCAAAACCACAGGAAGAAGGTTTTTTAAAAATTTTCTAGAAACCGCCGATAAATTTAGTGAGACCCTCAAGAAATCTAGTGAGACCCTCGAGGTTATGAAAAAGGACCAACTAGAAATTAAGCACACACTGACTGAAATAAAGAATATTATACAGAGTTCCAACAGCAGACTAGAGGATCGCAAGAATCAAGTCAAAGGTTTGAAATACGAAGAAGCAAAAAACACCCAACCGGAAAAACAAAAAGAAAAAAGAATCCAAAAATATGAAGATAGTGTAAGGAGCCTTTGGGACAACTTCAAGCATACCAGCATCCGAATTATGGGGGTGCCAAAAGAAGAGAGAAAGCAAGATATTGAAAACCTATTTGAAGAAATAATGACAGAAAACTTCCCCTACCTAGTGAAAGAAATAGACTTACAAGTCCAGGAAGCACAGAGAACCCCAAACAAAAGGAATCCAAAGAGGACTACACCAAGACACATCATAATTAAAATGCCAAGAGCAAAAGACAAAGAGAGAATCTTAAAAGCAGCAAGAGGAAAACAGTCAGTTACCTACAAGGGAGTACCCATAAGCTCTCAGCTGATTTCTCAACAGAAATTATGCAGGCCAGAAGGGAGTGGCAAGAAATATTCAAAGTGATGAATACCAAGAAACTACAACCAAGATTACTTTACCCAGCAAAGCTAACATTCAGAATTGAAGGTCAGATAAAGAGTTTCACAGATAAGAAAAAGCTAAAGGAGTTCATCACCACCAAACCAGTATTACATGAAATGCTGAAAGGTATTCTTTAAGAGGAGGAGGAAGAAGAAAAAGGTAAAGATACAAATTATGAACAACAAATACGCATCTATCAACAAGTGAATCTAAAAATCAAGTGAGTTAATAATCTGATGAACAGAATAAACTGGTGAATATAATAGAATTAGGGGCATAGAAATGGAGTGGGCTGACTATTCTCGGGGGTGGGGGGAAGGGGTGTGGGGGGTGCGGGAAGAGACTGGACAAAAATCGTACACCTATGGATGAGGACAGTGTGGGGAGGGTAAGGGCAGAGGGTGGGGTGGGAACTGGGTGGGGGAGCTATGGGGGGAGGAGAGGAACAACTGTAATAATCTGAACCATAAAGATTTAATTAAAAATAAAATTAATAAAAATAGGTAAAAACTCAGCATCGCCTGGGTGGCTTGGCTCAGTGGTTAAGTGTCATCCTATGAACCAGGAGGTCATGGTTTGATTCCCAGCCAGGGGACATGCCCGGGTTGCGGGCTGGATCCCCAATCTAGGACATACAGGAGGCAGCCGATCAATGATTCCCTCTTATCGTTGATGTTTCTACCTCTCTCTCCCTCTCTGATATCAATAAAAATATATTTAAAAAATAAATAAAAATAATAACTCAGCATCCTCTATTTCATTTGTATTTCTAATTGAGCCATAATAAAGCCATAACCCTGTTTTAAGCAATAATATATTACTGAAAAGTTATAAGTCAACTACATTTTTACCAACTGAATAATTCTATATATATAAAACCCTAATATGCAATAGAACAAATGGTGGAACAACTGAACAACTCGTTTCTATGACATGCGCTGACCACCAAGGGGCATGTGGGGGACATGGCAGGAATCGGCCCCAGCAGGATGGTGGAGCAGATAAGCGGAGGTGCCAGACCAAGGTGGGGCACTGGGTGCTGTCATCGGGGTGAGCCTCTGGTGGTTACTGAAAATTCTTTGCTCCTGCGTGCCGCTGTCCCACCCGGTGCTTGCACCTGCTGCCTGCACTGGCCCCGCTGGCACCTGCTGTTGGCACCAAAACCGCCTCTCACAGTCACTGCCAGCACGCGGACCCGTTCCCGATCGTCAGCACCATCAGCAGGTGCAAGTGGCGGCTGCCGGCCCTGATTGCCCCTGAGGGCTTCTCCACCTCCCCCTGCTCCTGAGGGGTGATCGGAGCAGCAGCCACCACTCCTACCAACTGATGATGTCAGTCCCGCTGGCACCCGCTGCCAGCGCTGGCCCCAATCGCTCAGTGCCATCAGTGAGTGCGAGCAGGACCAGTGCTGTCATCGCATGGGAGCGATGGCAGCGGGAACGGGGCTGCCGGCAAACAGGGGACCGGGAGCCGCAGTGGGAGGGGCCGTGCAGGGGCGCAGAGGATGGTCCAAGACCCGCCCCTGTGCCCATTGCAGCCTCTCCGCCCACAGTTCCTTTCAAGGTGCACGAATTCATGCACTAGGCCCCTAGTTTTAAAATAAAGGATAAATTTGTTATAGAAAAATGAATCCTATCATAATTTATAGATATACATTTTTATATCACACCATATTTTCTAAGAACGGGATAAAACTGCATTTAAAAAATAAAATAGCTCAGCTAGTGTGGCTCAGTGGTTGAACATCAACCTATGAACCAAGTGGTCAATGGTTTGATTCCTGGTCAGGGCATATGCCTGAGTCATGGGTTCCATCCCCAGTAGGGGGCATGCAGGAGGCAGCCAATCAATGATTCTCTGTCATCATTGATGTTTCTATCCCACTCTCTCTCTTCCTTCCACTCTCTGAAATCAATAAAAACATATTTTAAAAAAGAAGAAGAGTACTCCAGGCAGACAGCATCAGCAAAGGCCCTGAGTTTAAAAAGGGCTTGATGTTTTCTAGCAGCACAAAGGAAGCCAATGTGGCTGAACCAAGAGAAAGAATGGTATGAGATGAAGCTATTGAGATAAGCAAGAGCCAGATCATAGAAGGTCTTGATTACGACTTTGGCTTCTATTTTAAGAATGAAGGGATGCCAATGGAGCTGTGCTGTCCAATACACTATTAGCCAGGCTATCTGAGTTTATTTAAAATTAAAAATTCAGCTCTTCAGTTGCATCAACCATGTTTCAAGTGCTCAATGTCCACATATGGCTATTGGCTATCATATTGAGCCTTGCATATATAAAACATTTCTATCTACACTGAAAGTTATACTGGGCAGCACTTACTGGTGAATTTTAAGCAGCAAAGTGACAAAATATGACTTACATTTCAAAAGCTATCAGTGAAGGACAAAGCTATCAATAGAAAGGCAGGGGATAAATGTTCCTAAAGGACATGCCAAGTCCACAAAGCCACCACTGCCCCAAGTAGCTAACTGGATTTAGAAGTGATTTATGACTCAGACCTGTATGATAAGGTCCTCATACGTAAACACCAATGAGTGGGCATCCCTAGCACCATCTCAACAACAAAAACAAAGCTCTGAGTAAAGAATAGAGAATGGTTCAAAAAGGGAAAAGCATAAAAGCAAGGAACTGCAATAGATAAAGCAAGAATCATCTGGAACTGGAATGTGGATGGTCACATACATGTACACACTGAAGAGGAGGAGGGAGGAATGGGATGGATTGGTTAAAAGGCACCAAGGAGCCTCAGATAAAATGACTGGACGGTAGAGCCAAAAATGATGAAAGTAAATAGCACCTCCAACTTCACAAGAACAATATAATAGTTAATGACAATGGAAGCTACAAAACCCAGGCAATATCAGGTCTTTGGATCATTAGTTTCTCTGCAAGGG